CATCCCGAGCCCCACCATGTCACCACTCCAGTTGGGGATAGACCCCTCGAAATCCGAAGGGAGCAGCCTATATTCCCACCTAGGGGGGTGAATCGGCCGGTGGGGCCCAGGCTACACCGGTGGGGATGGGGATCGGTTCAACGATGCTCGCACAAAAGCCCTGCTTGGGCTCAGTCCAGAGCGCCGCGCAGAATGGGGGATTGGCGCAGGAAGGGGGGCCCAGACCTCCGACGACGCGTGTTTTTGTCCAGTCCCGTCGTCTTTCTTCGAGGTCGAAGGAACCTGTGCTCGATCTCCTCGGTCGACTCGTCTGGGGAGGCTCCCAAAGAGAAGGAGCTGCCGGTTGGGGGCTGTTCTCTGGCTGCCCACTAAGCCACCCCAACCTGACCAGAACTTGTCGCCGCTGGGCCTGCCACTTTCAGGCGGGGGGGCGCTCGGGCACGTCGAGAAAGCACAGTGGAACCCTTACCCCCCCCCAAAACAGGGGGGTCTGGGACCTTGGGGTTAGGTTTGGGTGATTTGGCAGATAGTGATTCTCAGACGACCTGCGGCTACACTTGGCCCCGCTGGGGGGTCGACATTGGTGCGGAAAAAATCGCGATGAAGATCGACAGCAATTCACTTAGAGATCTGCGGCTCCGGGAAGACCTGGAGCGGCCGGCTTTGGGCTATCGGCCCTGCGGATCAGCATAAACAGTCGGCCCTGCGGACTGGGACCGTCCAAAAACGGATCAGCATAAAAAGTCGGCCCTGCGGAGGCGGTCTGGACCTCCGGGGGGGCTCACGCATCGAAAACATGGAACGTCGGATGTCTGGGAGGTGGTAACGGAAGACCAGGGGTGGACGGATGCCCCTTTAGCAGAACGCCGTTTCGTGAAAGCTGTCAGGGGCACTCCACGTGCGTACGACACTGCATTCCGAGTGCGGTAGCTAATCGACGTCAAAAGACAACCGAATGTTTCCAGCGAGACGCACGTCGATCAGCGAAACTTACTGGGGACCGCACTGGCACACTCGAATGCCAATGCCTAGGCCTAGTGCATCAGTGACCGATTTCCTCGGTCGACTTGTCTGGGTGGGCGTTCTCCCAGAATGCCCGAGAAGGTGGAGGCAGGGTGTAGCGGGACCCATGGGCCTCCGACAACGTATGTTTTTCAATCCTGGCGTTTCTCCTCGATGTCGGCCTCCGGGGGCCGTCTTCCGGCCCCGGGACTATCAGGAATAGGTCCAAGGCGAAAAACTAAACCCGGGGAAGGGGTCGGGACCCCTGGTGCCGCGCATTGGAAAAATCATGGACGGGCGGATGTCGGGCAGGGGGTGGCGCGGGGGGGCGACCTTCTGAGAAGGTGGGGGAGCTTCCTAAGGAGGCCAGGGGCCTTCCTGGAAGCCCTCCAGGCTTCTCAGAAGCCTTCTCAGAAGCCCGCGGGCCCTTTCAAGAAGGCCTCTGGCCTCAGAGAAGCCCCCTGCCTTCTCGGTTGCCCCCCCCTCGCGCCGCCCGATCTGTGCTCGCCGACAGTTCGGGGACGATGGTTGGATTCAGCCCCAGCCTCGACGAACGGAACAAATCAGAAGCGAGGTGGGAAGGGACAGGATGAATAGGGCATGGTGCTAGGAAGAGAAACGTGTCGCCCATAGCTCTCCTCTCCCTTCTCTCCTGCCCTTCCGAGACCTGTAGCGCCGCGCACTAAGAAACAAAGTGACATCTACATATATATATATATATATATATATATATATATATATATACACACACTCACGCATACATAGACTTCTGACCGTCGCCGTACTAATTCGTTCCTCGGTTCGGTACATGATCGGCGGGCGGCTATGGCGCGCGGTCCTTGGTGAGCTCTTAAGGTAGAACTACTGGGGCCGTTCCGGACGCCTCCTGGGGCCTCTTGGGGGCCGTTTGGAGGCTTTTCGGGGCCTCTTCTGGGCCTCTTGGGTGCCTTTTGGGGCTTGTTGGGGGCCTGCTGGCGGTCTCGGGGGCCGTCTTGGGGCTTTCTTGGGCCTTTTTGGGCGCCTCTTGGGCTGTCTTGGAGCCCTGTTGGGCCGTCGTGGAGGCATCTTGGGGGCCTCTTGGGCCGTCTTGGGGCGGTCTGGGGGGCGTCGTGGGGCGTTTTGAAGCGTCGCACACAAGTCGTGCATTCTAGAAATGTATGTTTTATATAGGAACTAAAGTGAGTGGGCCTCTTGGGGCTCTCTTGGGGAGCCTCTTGGGGCCCTCTTGGGGCGTCTGGGGGGCCTCTTGGGCCGTCTTAGGGCCATCTTGGGCGCATTGGAGCCCTGTATCTTGGGGGCCTCTGGGGGCCATCTGGGGCCGCCTTGGGCCCTCCAGGGGCGCTCGGGGCCCAGCGGCCCCCACCCGGACTGAAATCTGGCCAGAGCAGTTTTCTATGCGTATAGGGCTTCATTGTAATAGTTCAGCTATGCATGTACTGATGTGTATATACACGCATACACGAATACCTATGAATATACACATGCATAAATATGTATATATAGAAGCATATACAATGTGTACATGCATTCGTATACACATATGCAGTTGATCATATGTGTACATGGATGCGTATACGTATCCATATACATGCACATGTGCATAAACATGTACATGCATACGTACATATACATAGACACATATTGCATATACCCATACAGGTACAAGTACATGTACACATGCATTTGCACATACCTATACATACACGTATGCACATACATGTACATATACATATACACATACATCCACATATGCAAACACATATACATAACCATGCAACTATACATATCCATAGACATACGCATACACACATGCAACTATACAAATAACTATGCATACACACATGCATACACATATACACAGACACTTGCATGTACATGTCCTTACACATGCTAACACACATATATACATATATATAGAGGTATGCATACAGTTGTACTTATAACATACAGATAAACACAGCTGTATATACACAGGTATGTACACATTCAACTGCATATATCTATACATGTGCATATACATATGCACGTAATATACATATACAGATGCACCTCCACATACATAGACATAGGCATACACAGATGCAGAGACACAGACATACACATATATATGTGTTCATTTACACATATGTATACATATGCCCACACTTGTAGGTATACAGTTACATAAACATGAACATATACGGACACGTATGTATATACATAAACACATACACTTGCCCATACATATACATATACCTATAAGCAAATATATATATATATACATACAGATGCGCATGCGTGTATTCATATACGTATACATGTACATAGGTAGGCAAACAAGTAACAATGATATGAATGACATGTCAGGGGAGCATGGGAAAAGCGGGCGGGAGGGGCAGGGGGGGGGGGACGGGGAGGAGGGGAGAATGAGCGAGGAAGGGGGAGCAGGGGCGGTGGGGGGGAGAGAGTTGCGAATCGGAATAGGTCGTAAGTGACTGTTTCCAAGCCGGCGTTTCGGCACAGACTCCACACAGCACGACGCCCAGGCCGCCACTTCATGCGGGAGGTCGGACAGACTGGTGAGCACCTCCTGACGCGCGCTCGCCCGCCCGGGCGCTGCGCTGGAGACATCGCGCGGTCGCACGCCGGAGACGAACGGGGCACGAGGGGGGGAGGCCGGGGCGTTGCAATTCACAGGCGTGTTCGCCCAGCCCTGGGCCCCGGGACACTCACAGACCGATCTCGCTCGAAAAACTAGCAGGTATGTGGGTCCTACGCAGGGCTCCGGGCGCGAGCTTTCACGATGTTGCGTGTCTGTTGCAACGTCAGGGTGGACCGTCCTGGCCGACTGTGCTGGCCGGGCCTTCTAGGCTCATCGGCCGAGGGCCGGCCGGGCGGCGGGGCATCAGCACTAGCGAGGAGATCCTGGACGGACCTCGCGCCCGGGTGCCGCTGATCTCGGGGCCCACCCGGCCCCGGACACCCGGCGTCTCGCACATACTGGGACGGGCTGCAGCGTTTTCGGCCTCCGGGCCTCGGGGCTATCAAAAAAAGCTGCTCGGGATGAGAAGCCAATCCCAGCGCGAAGTTCGAATAGGGGATCGACTACTGAATAGATTTACCCCAGCATTGATTCCTCGTCCAGTCATACGTAGACTGTGTGTAGATCTACGAACATTCGACGCATTTCACATGCATTCAGCGAACAAATCAATCTTGGGGTAAACCAATTCTGTTGGGGCAAATCAATTCTGCAGTCGATCCCCTACTCGAGAAGTGGTCGCAAGGTCGGGGGCCCGCGCCAGAAAGAAACAAATCGGGACGCTGGATGTTTCGGCCACCCGGGCTGCAATCCCTGACGTCCGCCGTTGGGCGTCGCTCAACAGCAGGGGGGCTATCCCTAAAGGCCCCTTTTGGGGCCCTACAGTAAAAAAGCCCAGGGTTCGCTAGGGACTGGCTTCCCCCCAACCAAAGAAACGGAAACCCTGCGGACACTCCCGAAACCCTCCGAAAAACCTTCCGTAACCCTTCCTGGAGGGTTTTCGTAGGGTTTTGGGAGGGTTCGGCTGTTTTGAAAAGAAACCAGCTCCTAGCGAACCCTGGGCTTGCTGAGCTAACTAGGACCTAAAGGGCGCTTTAATGGCCCTGTAGGGCCCCTTTTCTGCAGCCCTCGCTGTCCCCTACTTTATCGCCCCCCCCATTGCGCGACGCCCATCGCCGATGCCATGGTTTCAATCTAGGGCCCCAGAGCTCCCGCCCCCGTCCCCAGGGCAAGATTTTCGCCCCCGACCCATTGCTGATTGTCCTGGCGCCATAACAAGACGGCCCCCGAGGCCCGAGAGCGAGGAAGACACCCGCCGGGATCGAAAACATCATGCCGTCGGAGGTATCTGGGATCTCGGGCGGCGTGGAGGGCGCCAGCGCGGCAAGAGGGATGTCTCCCCGCGGCTCGAAAGTCGCATCAGGAGGGATGGAGATCTGGCAGACCGCGGGACGTCTGGTGTCGCGGGGGCGGCGTCCTCCATGAGCTCGTACTTCGGGGGCTCGAAGTGGATCCAGGTCGTCAGGGAGTACTTGAACCTCTGGGAGATAGTATGGAGGACAACGTTCCAAGAGGCCCCAAAACAGCCCCCAAGAGGCCCCCGAGAGCGCCCCGAAGAGACCTCAAGAACCATCCCTGAGAACTCTGACTCGCAACCCAGGCACGGTGGCGGGATGGGCCGAAGACGATTCGATCCGCCGCCCCCTGCTTGCAGGGGTGCACGGCGTGCTGGACGAGCTGTTAGGTTTTGGTTTTGGTTCTTTTTCCAAAAGAACTCCCCAGTGGGCTCCGGCAGAACCCGCCAGCCACCCGGAAGGGTGCTCAACGACCGGAAAAAATCCTCCAAAAAGGCCGTTTCGCTCGGGACATCCTCCAAAAATCGCGAAGATGGCCCAAGATGGCCTCCAAGTCCGCCCGAGATGGTCCAAGACGGCCTCCAAAACGGCCCAAGAGAGTCCAAGACGGCCCAAGACGGCCCAAGAGGCCCCCCAGAGGCCTCCCAGACGGCCCAAGAGGCCTCCAAGAGGTCCTCCAGGAGAGTCCGAAGAGGCCAAAATCATTGATTTTCCATTGGTTTTTGAAGGATTTTGGCATTTGCGCCTTTTCGGCTCTCCGACGGCTCAAGACGGCCCAAGAAGCCCCCAAGATCGCCCAAGAGGCCCCCAAGAGAGCCCCCTGATGGCCCAAGTGGCCTCCAAGATGGCCCCTAGAGGGCCCCAAGACGGCCCAAGAGGCCTCCAACACGCCCAAGATGGCCTCCAAGACGCCCAAGATGGCCTCCAAGACGGCCCTGGAGCGCCCCAAGAGGGTCCCCCGTTGGCCCAGAAAGGCCCCCAAAACGGCTCCCGACGGCGTCAGACGTGCCAGGAACCCACCAAGATGGCCGAAGTTGGCTCGAAGCTGGCCCAAAAGGGCCCAAGAGGCCCCCAAGAGGGCCTCCAGGAAGGCCAAAAGATGCCAAAATCAATGATTTTCCTAAGGTTTTTGATGGATTTGGGCATTTCCCTTTTTTCGGCCTTCCGACGGCCCGAGACGGCCCAAGAGCCCCCAAAGATCGCCGAAAGATCGCCCAAGAGGCCTCCAAGACGGCGACGATGACCATCAAGACGCCCACGTGTTCCCCGAAGGCTTTCCAAACCGATTCGGGGAACACATGGTCCGATGGCTTGGCAGGTCTGGCCTCAACGTTCGGCCACATACGCGCCTCCACAAAGGCAGGGGGCGGCGGTGATTCGCCGTAGGCGTCTTCGATCCGCCGCCCCCTGTCGATTCATCGCAGGGGTGCCCGGCGTGCTAGATCCTCTCGGTTTTGCTTTTGGTTCTTTTTCCAGAAGAACTCTCCCAGAACGGGCTCCGGCGCGTCCCGCCGGGGCCGCGGAAGGCGCGGAAACGAGCTCAACGACCGCAAAAAGTCCTCCAAGATGGCTCGCGATGGCCTCCCAGACGGCCAAGATGGCCTCCAAGACGGCTCAGATGTCCCCAAGATGCCGCCAAGACGGCCCAAGACGGCCGTAGATAGTGTCAAGATGGCCCACGACTGCCCCAGAGTCCCCCCAGAGGCCCCGAAGACGGCCCAAGAGGCCTCCAAGAGCTCCTCCAGGAAGGCTCGCCGAGGCCAAAATCATTGTTTTTCCTTAGGTTTTTCAAAGATTTTGGTATTTACGCCTTTTCGGCCTTCCGACGGCCCCAGGTGGCCCAAGAAGTCCCCAAAATCGTCCCAAGATCGCCCAAGAGGCCTCCAAGATGGCCCCGTGACGGCCCAAGAGGCGCCCAAGACGGCCCCAAGACGGCCCAAGAGGCCTCCAAGACGCCGAAGATGGTCTCCAAGATGGCCTCCAAGACGGCTCAGATGGCCCCAAGATGCCGCCAAAACGCCGAAGATGCACCCAAGACGGCCTAAGATGGCGTCAAGATGGCCGAAGACGGCCCACGAGGCCCCCCAGAGGCCCCCAAGACGGCCCAAGAGGCCTCCAAGAGCTCCTCCAAGAGGGCCCGAAGAGGCCAAAATAATTTATTTTCCGCAGGTTTTTGAAGGATTTTGGAATGTGCTTCTTCTCGGCATTCGGACGGCTCAAGACGGCCCACGAGGCCCCCAAGATCGCCCAAGAGGCCCCCAAGAGGGCCCCATGACGGCCCAAGTGGCCTCCAAGATGGCCCCAAGAGGGCCCCAAGACGGCCCAAGAGGCCTCCAACACGCCCAAGATGGCCTCCAAGACGCCCAAGATGGCCTCCAAGACGGCTCCGAAGCGCCCCAAGAGGGTCCCCCGTTGGCCCAGAAAGGCCCCCAAGACGGCCCGACGGCGTCAGACGTGCCAGGAACCCACCAAGATGGCCGAAGTTGGCTCGACGCTGGCCCAAGACGGCCCAAGAGGCTCCCAAGAGGGCCCCCAGGAAGGCCAGAAGGCCAAAAACATTGATTTCCTACGGTTTTTTTTGTTTGCGTATTTTGACATTTCCTTCTTTTCGGCCTTCCGACGGCCCGAGACGGCCCAAGAGCCCCCAAAGATCGCCGAAAGATCGCCCAAGAGGCCTCCAAGACGGCCAAGATGACCTTCAAGATGCCCACGTGTTCCCCGAAGGCTTTCCAAACCGATTCGGGGAACACATGGTCCGATGGCTTGGCAGGCCTGGCCTCAACGTTCGGCCACATAGGCGCTTCCACAAAGGCAGGGGGCGGCGGTGATTCGCCGCAGGCGTCTTAGATCCGCCGCCCCCTGTCGATTCGTCGCAGGGGGTGCCTGGCGTGCTGGACTTCTTAGGGTTTTTCCAGAAGAACTCCCCTGGGGCTCCGGCACGTCCCGCCGGCCACCCGTAAAGCGCGTCCGTCGATGCCTGAAACGGCCGTTTCGCTCGGGACATCCTCAAAAAATCGCGAAGATGGCCCAAGATGGCCTCCAAGTCCGCCCAAGATGGTCCAAGACGGCCTCCAAGACGGCCCAAGAGAGTACAAGACGGCCCAAGACGGCCCAAGAGGCCCCCCAGAGGCCTCCAAGACGGCCCAAGAGGCCTCCAAGAGGTCCTCCAGGAGGGCCTGAAGAGGCCAAAATCATTGATTTTCCTTAGGTTTTTGAAGGATTTTGGAATGTGTTTCTTCTCGGCATTCCGACGGCTCAAGACGGCCCAAGAGGCCCCCAAGATCGCCCAAGAGGCCCCCAAGAGGGCCCCATGACGGCCCAAGTGGCCTCCAAGACGGCCCCAAGAGGGCCCCAGGACGGCCCAAGAGGCCTCCAACACGCCCAAGGTGGCCTCCAAGACGCCCAAGATGGCCTCCAAGACGGCCCCGAAGCGCCCCAAAAGGGCCACCAGTCGGCCCAGAAAGGCCCCCAAGACGGCTCCCTCCCGACGGCGTCAGACGTGCCAGGAACCCACCAAGATGGCCGAAGTTGGCTCGACGCTGGCCCAAGACGGCCCAAGAGGCCCCCAAGAGGGCCTCCAGGGAGGCCAGAAGAGGCCAAAAGCATTGATTTTCCCAAGGTTTTTGATGGATTTGGGCATTTCCCTTTTTTCGGCCTTCCGACGGCCCGAGACGGCCCAAGAGCCCCCAAAGATCGCCGAAAGATCGCCCAAGAGGCCTCCAAGATGGCCCCAAAACGGCCCACGAGGGACCGAAGACGGCCCCAAGAGGCCCCCAAGACGGCACAGGAGGCGTTTAAGACGCCCAACATGTTCTCCAAGACGGCCCTAGAGCATTCCAAGAGGGCCCCAAATCTGCGCATAGAGGCCCCCCAAACGGCTTCCGACGGCGTCAGACGGACCAGGAGCCCACCAAGACGGCCGAACATGGCCCTAAGATGGCCCAAGACGGCCCAAGCGGCCAAGAGGCCTCCAAGAGGGCCTCCAGGAAGGCCCGAAAAGGCCAAAATCATTGATATTCCCTAGGTTTTTGAAGGATTGTGGCATTTGCTTTTTTCTGCCTTCCGACGGCCCGAGACGGCCCAAGTGCCCCCAAAGATCGCCCAAGAGGCCCAAGACACGGCCCCAACAGGCCCCCAAGACGGCCCAAGGGTCTCCAAGACGCTCAAGATGGCCTCCAAGACGGTCCAAGAGCCCTCCAAGACGTCCTCCAAGAAGGCCCGAAAGGGTCAAAATGGCCTCCAGACGGCCAAGATGACCTTCAAGATGCCCACGTGTTCCCCGAAGGCTTTCCACACCGATTCGGGGATCACATGGTCCGATAGCTTGGCAGATCTGGCCTTAACGTTCGGCCACATAGGCGCTTCCAGAAAGGCAGGGGGCGGCGGTGATTCGCCGTAGGCGTCTTCGATCCGCCGCCCCCTTTTGCTTTAGCAAAGGGGTGCCTGGCGTGCTGGATGATATTGGTTTTGGTTCTTTTCCAACAAAAAAAACTCCCCCTGGGGCTTCGGCCCGTCCCGCCGGCCATCCGGAAGGATGCCGAAAATTTACACAGACCCGGTTGCAAAGGGCTGTTCCTGGTCCAGACGGCTCCACGACGGCCCAGACGGCCAAGATGGCCTCCAAGACGGCTAAGATGGCCCCAAAATGCCTCCAAGGCGGCCCAAGATGCACCCAAGACGGCCTAAGATAGCCTCAAAGCGGCCCAAGACGGCCCAAGAGGCCTCACTACGGCCCAAGAGGCCTCCAAGAGGTGCTCCAGGAAGGCCCGAAGAGGCCAAAATCATTGATGTTCCTGAGGTTTTTGAAGGATTTTGGCATGTGTCCCTTCTCGGTATTCCGACGGCTCAAGACGGCCCAACAGGCCGCCAAGATCGCCCCAAGATCGCCCAAGAGGGCTCCAAGAGGGCCCCTTGATGGCACAAGGGCCCCCAAGACGGCCCCAAGAGGGCCCAAGACGGCCCAAGAGACCTCCAAGACGCCCAAAAAGGCCTCCAAGACGGCCCCGAAGCGCCCCAAGAGGACCCCACGTCGGTTCAGAGAGGCCCCCAAGACGGCGTCAGACGGGCCAGGAGCCCACCAAGATGGCCGAACATGGCCCTAAGATGGCCCAAGACGGCCCAAGAGGCCTCCACGAGGGCCTCCAGGAAGGCCCGAAGAGGCCAAAACCATTGATTTCCCTTAT